CCGGTACGCCGCGCATCAGCTCAACCTCTGGCCCCGTGTCTCTGACCCGGACACCTCGCCGACACTGCGTTGGACGGGAGAGGTTGGCGATGCGTCGGTGTTCCGAGTCTGGGGATCTCGTGCCTTTGTCCGCGATGCGTCCGCGGATAAGCTCTCCTCCCGTACCCTCCCTTGTGTCTTCCTTGGCTTTGTCCCTGACGCGTCTGGCTGGCAGTTTTACCACCCTGCCTCGCGCCGTGTCTTCCCCTCTCAGGACGTCATGTTTGACGAGTCGGTCCCCTTTTACCGTCTCTTCCCCTACCGCACTGCCCCGCTCCCTCCTCTGCCGCTCTTCCTCACCCCAGGTGCTGCTTTGGTAGACCCCCTGCCTCCCCAGGGTCCTGCTCCCTCAGGTGTTTCCCAGGTAGACCCGGTCGAGCCTGTCGAGGTAGCTGTCGACTCTGGTCCTGCGCGAGGTGCTGAGCGTGCTGAGCGTGCTGAGCCTGGTGGTGCTGGGTTTGGTGGTACTGAGACTGGGGGTGCTGAGCCTGGGGGTGCGGAGCCTGGGGGTGCTGAGTCTGGGGGTGCTGAGCCTGGGGGTGCTGACACTGGGGGTACTGAGCCTGGGGGTGCTGCGTCTGACCGTACTGCGCCTGGAGGCGCTCTCTCTTCCTTGGAGCTGCGTGAGTGGTACTCTCGGTTCTGCCGCCGCCGCAGTGGTGCTGTGGGAGCTGAGGGCGCTGGAGCTACTGGTGCTGGTGTGGCTGCCGACCCTGGGGTTGGCGCTGGTGGTGCTGGAGCTGTTGAGCCTGGCGGTGCTGCTGGAGCTACTGGAGGAGCGAGTGCTGCTGGAGCTGGAGGTGCAGGTGCTGACAGTGCTGCTGGAGCTGGTGCTGAGTCTGGGTGTGTTGCTGCTGGGGACACTGCGACTGGAGACCCTGGGGCTGCAGGTGCCGGCTCTGGGGGTGCTCCTGCTGGTGACGCTGGTCCTGGAGGTACTGGAGCTGCTGGTGCTGGTGGCACTGCGCCGCCACGCCTGTTCTTCGCTCCGCCGTCTCCGTCGTCTCTGCCACCGTCTGACTCTGCTCTTCGTCAGGTTCTTACCCTTCCGTCGTCTACTGGTCTTCCGTTACAGCCTGGCTCACCGCTGCCTGCCCCTTCTCCTTACACTGAGCAGACAGGAGGTCTTGCTGAGCGTCGTGAGCCTGCGTCTCGCCCTGCGTCGCCTGTTCGCACTGCTCGCACTGGTCGTCGTGTCCCGCGTCCGCGTCCTCCTCCTGTCCCTGGCACGCACCAGATGGCACTTCGTCCGTCCACTGCTCCACAGCGTGTTCCACTGCCGTCCCCTCCTGCGTCTTCTCTGCCTGACGTTCTAGACCCTGAGTCATACCGTGTACGTGCTGCTCACCCTACTGTCACGCGTCTCCTAGCCACTGTTGTCACTGACCCTTCCTTTGAGTCCGCTGCTGCGTCTGCCCTAGTTGCTGAGCTTGTCGACTTTGCTGCTCACTGTCGTCTAGACTACGCCGCGAGTCTTGTTGCTGAGTCTGAGTCTGTCTGTCCTCCGTCCGTCGGGGGTGAGTGTGCTCTTGGCACGGACGTCCTTGAGGACAGGCAGGAGGAGTTTGAGTGCTTTGCCGCTGCTGTACCTCATCTCGTGTCCATGCTGATTGCACCTGAGGGAGACCCGGATGCACCAGACATCCCGACCCCGCGCTCTTACGCTGAGGCGATCGCGGGTGAGTACTCCTCTCAGTGGCAGACAGCCATGGACGCAGAGATGGCATCCTGGAAGTCCACTGGCACTTACGTCGACGAGGTTCCCCCTCCTGGGGCGAACATCGTCAGTGGCATGTGGATTTTCAGGGTGAAGCGGCCGCCAGGTTCTCCGCCTGTCTTCAAGGCTCGTTACGTTGCTCGAGGCTTCAGTCAGCGAGAGGGAGTAGACTTCTTCCAGACCTTCTCCCCCACCCCCAAGATGACCACTCTTCGGGTGCTGCTGCACGTTGCCGCTCAGCGTGACTACGAGCTTCACTCTCTTGACTTCAGCACAGCTTTCTTGCAGGGCAGCCTGCACGAGGAGATCTGGCTGCGCCGCCCCCCGGGCTTCACTGGGTCGTTCCCTCCTGGTACCCAGTGGAGCCTCCGCCGGCCGGTCTACGGTCTCCGCCAGGCGCCACGTGAGTGGCACGACACACTGAGGACTACGCTTGCGGCTCTTGGGTTTGCGCCTTCTACTGCTGACCCGTCGCTGTTTCTGCGCACCGACACTTCACTGCCGCCGTTCTACATCCTCGTGTACGTCGACAACTTGGTGTTTTCCACTGCTGACACTGAGGCTCTCGCCCACGTGAAGTCGGAGCTGCAGAAGAGACACACGTGCACTTACTTGGGTGAGCTGCGCAGCTACCTTGGCTTGCAGATCACCCGGGACAGAGCACGCCGCACCATCACCCTGACTCAGTCACACATGGTGCAGCAGGTCCTTCAGCGCTTCGGCTTCACCTGGTCCTCAGCACAGGCCACTCCTCTGGCTACAGGTCACTCGCTCTCAGCTCCACCTTCGGACGAGTCCGTAGAGCCAAGTGGTCCTTACCCAGAGCTAGTTGGCTGCCTCATGTACCTGATGACTTGCACTCGTCCTGACCTCGCGTACCCTCTTGGTCTTCTGGCTCGCTACGTGGCTCCTGGTCGGCACCGACCTGAGCACATGGCTGCTGCTAAGAGGGTACTGCGCTACTTGTGCAGCACATCAGGCATGGGGCTAGTGCTTGGAGGGACGAGCCCAGTTGTTCTCACTGGGCACTCAGACGCTTCTTGGGTTGACGACCAGGCTACTCAGCGGTCGTCACAGGGTTACACCTTCAGCCTTGGCTCTGGTTCAGTTTCGTGGCGTTCTACACGCTCGTCTTCAGTTCTCAGCTCCAGTTGTGAGGCTGAGATCTACGCCACAGCCATGGCTGCACAGGAGTTACGCTGGCTCACCTACCTGCTGACTGACTTGGGAGAGCAGCCTCGTTCTCCTCCAGTGCTGTATGTCGACAACAAGGCCGCCATTGCCTTGTGTGAGGAGCACAGACTGGAGCACAGAACGAAGCACATCGCTCTGCGTTACTTCCTGACTCGAGAGTTGCAGCAGCGTGGTCAGCTTCGTCTGCGGCACGTGGCGACTCGGGCCAACACTGCTGATATATTCACCAAGGCGCTTCCGTCTGGTGATCATCAGCGTTTCTGCACTTTGTTGGGCCTTGTGCCTACGTTTCCACACTTGCTGTAGTCTCTGCTTGTACTGTGATCTATGTATATATACCTGCATGCTTGCTCTTGCTAGGTAGAGATCACTGTGCTGTTCTTGCTGCTTATATACCTCTACATGTGGACTGGCCTTGTGGCCGTTTGCTTGTGCTCAGTGTGTGTGGTGACGTTGTGATCCACCCTGAGCTGTGTTTTGTTTCTTCTCTTGACTGGTCTTGTGACCATTGCTTGCTCTGGCTATCCCCCATTTCGCCTATGGGGGTGTGTCAAAACATATGCATGTTAGTATCTAGGCTATATTTGGGCTAGCCTTAGAGGGTACAAAATTTTCCTCGACACTCTAGTCTTGTTCCCCAACATTGACCTAATCTCACATACTCTTCTCATTCTAACAACAACAGGGAGTACGGAACCTGACATGCGGATAACTACTTTCGACGTACCTTCCGCTACGTCATACCGTACATTTCCTGGGTACGAAAACACTTCACCCTGCTTTCACGCGCAAAAACTGTACCTGGCAACTTTTGCCACCCGTTTCCTGTAAGAATACCAACTTGGCTCCCTGTTACACTCACACAGGAGGGACCATCGCTGCAGCTACGCTGTGTTTAGGGTTTGGTGCAGCGTGGGAAACTCTGTGCTGGTGCAGCAAAGTTGGTTAGCACTGGGCCTTACGAGGTACATTCGTGGCAGTGATGTGCTGCAGTGGCGGGAAACATGCAGTGATTTTTCCCTTTGAAGTCTGAGTATTTCAGACTTGTGTTTTTGCGAAACCTGGAAAATCAGAGTAGCCAAACTCTGGCTGGGAAATATGCCTCAGACTCCCCAGAAGATCAGACTGGTTTTTTTTGAATAGTTAGCCCTGGTTCCGAGTCAACAATAAACACCCCTCTAACATTGTAAAGTACCACCGAGTACCTTTTGGTTGAGCACATCTACATGCAGGACAATTGTATTTTCTAACGCATCTAGCACCCGCCAACACTTCTACTCCGCAAGAAATCTCTAAACAAGCACATGCGCACTTAGGGCGTGTTCCTACGGCCCCCTATCAGGCCAACCCCCTATCACATTCGTGTCGCATCACACTGAAATTCCCCTAAACCCGAAATCTCTCGCGAATTCTACCAGGCAAGCTTGATAAGAAGCTTGCCTGATAAGAGCGCAGGAACACGCCCTTAAGCCTCCATCTCCCATCTGTCATCATCCACGACTTCCCCTTCGCACGCAGAGGCTGGAAAACATGAAGACGCTGCAAACAATCCCTTGTCATACTCCCCTTCGGCAATCGTTGTTTCCCTCAAACAAGTTGCCTCCTCCACTGAACCTTCCGTTCTCCCTTTCACCTGCCTGCCTTCGTCCCTGACATCTCTCTTCTTGTCTCGCCCATCTGCCACTCTACCCCCTACCCCCTGCATCCTCTGCAGCAGCAGCGCCCTCAGCTCCTTCTCCCTCTCCGCCTCCACATCCCTCCCCTCCCCCTGCCTTGCACCTTGAGCCTTCTCGCCTTTTCCCCGCTCAACCTCTTCTGCTCCATCCCACTCCCCATCGTTCACCACATCCTTGCGTATCCTCCTCTCCTTGGCTCTTTCGTTCTTCCCGCTCTCCCCTCCACTCCAACTCTCCCACGCCTTTCCCCTCCCTTCCGTACCCCTCCAACCCTCCCTAGAGTCCACTTGCAACACTGCCCTCTCGTTAACCTTGCCAGCACCTGTACTTCTCTCCCCCCTGTGCATTCCTCCCGCTCTCCCTCTCCCCACATCATGTTGCCTCGCATCCTCATCTCCACACACACCCACTCGCCTTGCCTGCTCGCCAACACGCCTCTCCCACCCGTGTGATTCCCTGCCCTCCTCGCCACTCCCATGAACCTCCTGTTCTCCCCGCCACACTCTCTGCCTCTCAACATCACTCTCTACTCTCTTTCGCCTCCGCTCCACTCTCGCACCCTGTATTCCCCCACGTTTCCCCTCCCCATCATTCAACCTCCCCCCTCGTCCACTCTCATCCCTCCCATCACTCCCACCACCATCACTGCTATTCCCACGCAACCCACACACTCTCTCTTCCCTACCTCTCTCCACAGACTTTCCCCTCCTTTCTCTCCGCTTCTCCTGCCCCTCCCTCTCGCCAATCTCCTTCCGTTTCCCTTTCTTCCCTCTCTCCTTCCTCTTCTCCCTTTCTCCCCTCTCCTCTCTATCGTCCCGCCCCTCCGCCCCACGCATGTCGCTCGCACTCTCACTGCTCCTGCCATCACGTTCCTCCCACGACCGCCTGCCCCTCTCTCGCCCCTCCACTGCACACCTCCCTTCATCTACTCTCCTCCGCCCCTCCCCTTCTGCTTCTCCTCCCCGTCCTCTCTTACCCCCTCCACTTCCTTCCTCTCCTTCCAACCCTTCTCCCTTCTGCGTCGCACCTTCCCCTTTCCTCCCTTTCCTTGTCTCCAGTTCAACAATCGCCTTCACCTCATCACCACTATCATCCCCCCCTCTCCCCACACCCTGCACCAATTCTCTGACACCTTCCCCTTCCCTTGCATCCCTCTCCTTCCCCTCCCCCCCGCTCCTCTCCCTGCCTCCCTCACTCCTTTCCCTGCGCGCCTCAATCTCCCTCTCATAATCCCGCGCCCCCCTGCTCACCCCATACAGCCCCTGCATCTGCTGCTGCCACAGCAGGGGCGGCGGTGCATCAAAGTCTGCCCACTCGTAATCGCCGTGGGGGTTGGGGAAGGGGTGCAGGAACGGACACGAGGGGCCACGCGGGCAGCGCTGAATGGGAGTGAGTGAGAGGGCGGGCAGGGAGAAGGGGAAGGAGGACAGAAAGGCGTGGCTGGGGACGGATGGGGCTGGAAAAGGGAGTGGGAGCGGACAGGTGGGCATGCAGGGACGGTGCTATGTGTGTGGATGCAGGGGTGGGGTGGAGGAGGAGCAGTTGTGGATAGGGGAGGAGTGCGTGGGAAGGCTGCAAAGGAGGTGAGCATGGTTTTGACGAAGGAGGAAGATGAGGTTTCAGTTGGGACCTGTCCATGCATGTGTGCTTGCCAGCACAGCTGAGTGCACCTGCGCATATGCCTCCGCTCGTGCCCGGGCCTGTGATTGTGCCCGGGCCTGTGCGGTGCTTGTATAAAAGTATACGTGTGCGTAAATGGCGGTGGGATGCGACAGTAAATACATTGGCACCTGACCTGGCATCGCATCATACAGTCCTTCCCCACTCAACGCCCCCATACATCCAACCCTTCCCCTCCTATTTTCCAATTTTGTGACACCAGTTCCATCACCTCCCTTCCCCAATCCCGCCCTTAATCCCCCTCCCGAGTGCTCTCCCCCTCACCTTGCCCTTCCTGCGGTACTCTCCACAAATGGCGTTGCGCCATCTGTCAATGGGAACCAACACACATGCCAGCTGGCGGTGTGGGGAGGGAAGGGGAAGAGAAAGACATGAAGGGAGGGGGGCAGAAGAGGGGATGGCAGGAGATGGGCAGATTGCATATCTGTGCAAGTGGAAGATGAAGGTGACTTCCACCCGTGCACATGGCCACACGTTTAACATAACTAACAATAATAATAATAATAATAATAATAATAATAATAATAATAATAATAATAATAATAATAATAATAATAATAACAATAACAACAACAACAACAACAACAACAATAACAACAACAACAACAACAACAACAACAACAACAACAACAACAACAACAACAACAATAACAATAACAATAACAATAACAATAACAATAACAATAACAACAACAACAACAACAACAACAACAACAATAATCATAATAATAATATATTAAAAAAACAAAAAAAAACTTTCTACGAGTTGTGCAGATACTCCCATGAACATGCCATGGCCGGCCCTCATGAGCGTGTATCAGCATCTTCTCCACCATGCTGCTCAGCACTCGCCCTCCTGCATGCACGCGCGTGTGCACTGCACCTACCTACACAAATGCACCTTGTGTGCCTTCACACGCACGCGCCTGCCACTTTAATTCCCCACCCACCCACGCACCTTCCCTCCCCCGCCAAGCACGCACCTGGTGGAGGCCGTAGAAGCGGCCGTGCATGGCAGCGAGGGCGGTGGCAGCATGGTCAGGGTCAATGTAGTCCACATACACGTTGCCCCGCAGGTGGGGCACTGCATTGCGACACACCTGCCAGGGGGGCACGGGCAGTAGGTGGGACGGTGGGCGGGTGTGTGCGGTGCGGTGAGGAGGAGGGGAAGGTCTGTGGGTGAGCAACATATTCACGCTGGACCACAACTCGACACATATGGGCGATAGTGAAAGGTACAGCACAGCAGGTGCAACAGGGCAGGAGCAGCAGGGCAGGAGCAGCAGGGCAGGAGCAGCAGGGCAGGAGCAGCAGGGCAGGAGCAGCAGGGCAGGAGCAGCAGGGCAGGTGCGTTTGGGCAGGAGAGCGAACTGGCCTTGAAGTTGTAGAGCTCGCCATACTTCTGGAACTCCGTGTGCAGGTCTGTGTAGAAGCTCTCAAACGACTCCCTGCCCTCGCCCCCTGCACGCCCCCACCCCACCTCCTGCTGCTCCCCTTCCCGTGGACATTTTTGCATGCGGTGCGTGGTATCCCACTCCTGGTCCAGGTAGTAGTTCTCCCCGGGCGCATGGCACACACGCGGCGGGCTGTCAGCCTGCTGTGAGCATGGATACGTGGAGAGCGGTGGGAGTGCGTGGGATGTGGCCTGCGCTGCGGTGCTTGACGAATGTTTGGATTGGAAAGTAAAGGAGGAACGAGAGGAGGGGAAGCAGAAGATGAGAATGCGAAGCAATCGACGGAGACCAGGGAGAGGGGAGGAGACGAGAGGAGGGGCACGTTGAGGAGAAAAGGAAAGGCTGGAAACCAGCTCTTGCAGCAAGGGAAACGGTACTGGATCTACAAAGAAGAGGATGGGGGGATGAATTAACAAAGCAATGGCACCATCAGAAAGTAGTGAATGAGATAAGCGGGCATATGCAACATGCCGCTGCTGCTGCTGCTGCTACTGCTGCTACCACAGCTGGGGCTACTGCTGCTGCTGCCACTGCTCCCGCCGCTGCCACTGCTGCCGCTAATGCTGCTGCTGCCGCTGCCACTGCTGCCGCTGCTTCTGCTGTTGCTGCTAAGAGCAGCTGAAGTCAGTTGAGGGCTACAAACCCCCGAAGATGAGGCTGGGAGACACATTTATGGTCACGCGTCGATCGGAGGCACGTGCAAGGTGCTGCTGCAGGCCGTCCAGAGAGCCGCAGCGGGTCGTGTGATTGGTTGGGTGTTGGAAGGCATTGGAGTTAAGGATGGCATTGCATTGCACAGACAGGGCGACTCATATGGCGACAGGCACGTGTGGTGGTGGGGGAAAGGAGGAGACGAGCGAGAAAGTGAAATAGGAAAAGGAGGGAAAAGAAAGAGGGAGAGGGAAAAGATGCGGGGTAGAGACATCAGGAAGGCCAGGCAAGTAGGGAGGGACGAAGGAAGGCGCACAACGAGACGGGCACATCAGGCATGCCCTAAACGCTATCCGCATTCCGGCATTAAAACGCACAGCACACATATGACAAACAAGAAAGAAGCCCCTGTGCGAAAGAGAAAGCAGGGAAGGGCAGCACTCCAGTGCAGGGCACCAACCTCTAAGGTGGCGGCAGCAGAAGCAGCGAGAGAGGAGGCGCAGGAGGATGAGGCGAGAGGGGGCAAGCCCGGGCCTTGGTAGAGGTTCGGCAGGAGGAGCGTGTGAGTGAGGTGCGGGTGAGGATATGAGTGCAGGCGCGTGCACGCAAGGCCGTAGCGACAGGTGCCTGTCTTGAGGAAGAAGGGGCAGGACGGGGGCAGCTGCACGGGGGAGAGCAGGAGGGAGATACGGTGAGTGGGATGATGAGAAGAGAAGGGAATATGAGGGAAGGTATACGCGAGCGGGTGGGGAAGGAAGCGAAGGATGAGGAGCAGGTGAGAGCAGCGGGCGGGAATGACCTGGTGGGTGGGCGTGTGGGAGATGCCGCATGCAGCTGTGCCTGCGGGCCATGGTGCTGCCACACCTTCTCCTCCTCCTTCTGCTGCCGCCACAGGCGCTGCTGATACTGCTGATGTTCCTGCCAGCATCACCTGTGCGAGTGCTTGCACTGCTGAGAAAGGGTCCGTACTGCCATGCGATGGTGGGTGCAGCAGCGCGGACACTGCAGCAGGCGCAGTGGGAGCAGAGGCAGGAGGAAGGGCTGACGACATCTGCTGCTGCTGCTGCTGCTGCTGCAGCAGCAACCATCGTGGCCGATGCAGCATCAGGTGCGGCAGCAGAAGCAACGGCAGGAGAGGGGATGGCAGAGGGCAAGCGAGCAAAGGAAGGCGCAGGGAGAAGGGGCGCGGATGGGGGAGGAGCTTTGGCATGTGTGGGGGGCTGTGGTGCGGACAGGAGAGGGGGGAGTAGGGAAGGGGGTAGAGGCGTGCGAGATGCAGAGAGAGGCGGGTGCTTGGGTGGTGGGAGAAGAGCAGAGACACATGGCACTGCGCCCTGCTGCTGCTGATTCTCATTCCCCTGCTGCTGAGTGTGCTGGTGTGGCAGCACTGCGTGGGTTGTGGCGTGTGAGGACGTGACTCCGCGGCTCGTGAGCGGGGATGCTGAGGGCGCTGCTTGCACGGACCGTGATCGCTGCAGAGAGACAGAGGGAGGAAGGGGGACAGCGAGCGAGGGGGGGAAATGGGGGTTGGGAGATGATGAAAGAGAGGAAACAGGGGGTGACAGGGGATGGGTGGAGGGGGAGGTAAAAGCGGGAGCACATGTGGGCAGAGACACGAACGAGCGGTCCCTAGACCCCACCGCACCGCACATGCACCTTCTCTTGCTCGCCTTCACATCACACCCCTATCATCTCGATACTCGCCCAAACCAGAACCAGACCAAACCATGACCAAACAAGTGCCTTGTGCCATACTCTCCCAGCACCCTCCCTCTCCCTCTCTGCATGTCAACCCAAGCAAGCATCCACTAGCAAGCGAGTGGAGTGGCCATACCGTGCCAGCATCCCCTGCTGCGCGCGTCACACTCGAACCCCCCTCTGCGCCACTGCTACCGTCTGCACCCGCTGCCCCTGCTGCCCCTGCTGGCACTGCTGGCACTGCTGCTGCCACGCACACGCGCACAGCAGTGCCGGGCACCTCCCCTGGCAGGCAGTGGCCCTTGCGGCGGCGCATCTTGACGCGCCTCTTGCGCACGATGATGTCGTCGCCCTCCCACACTATGTCCGGCACGCCCCCCACCTCCACCTCCACCTCCACCTCCTCCTGCTCCTCTTCCTCTTCCTCGTTCTTCTCAGCCTCCTCAGTCGTCTGCTGCGAGCCTGCGCGTTTGTCCTCCTGCCCTGCTGCCGTTGCGCCTGCCACTGCTGCCGCGGCAGCAGCTGCTGCTTCCTGGTTTGACGGAAGAAGGAAAGAATGGAGCGGGGAGATGGGGGAGTGGAGATGGAGGGAGGGAGGGATGGAGTGGAATAAGATTGAGTGGCAGCTGCAAGGAAGGGCGTGGCGAGGGGGACGGCAGGAAGGAGAGGGAGCAGATGGATTGGAGTTAAGCAGCACAGCTGGCGGCAGAGCACAAGAGCAATCCGCCTCCTTGCACCCCTCGCAGAACCCGCCACTTTCACCCGCCTTGGTCTACCGTGCCTGCCTACCGTCCTCCGCCCACCCTCCGCCCTCCCTACCCAGCGCGTCGTCCCCTTGCTGCTACCCCGGCTCACCTCTTTCCACCTGCGTCTCTCCTCCATCCGTTTCTTCTCCTCCTCGATCTCCCTCTCTCGCGCCAGCCATCGTCGCTCGCCCTCCTCCCGCGCCCTCCTCTCCTCGTCTTCCGCCTCCCTCCGCCGCCTCTCCTCCTCTATCCGCGCCCATCGCTCTGCGCTGTCCGTTTCCGCCCGTCCCTCCCGCTCCTCCTCCTCCCGCGCAAGGACTTCCGCTGCAGCGATCGCGCGCTCCCGTCGTTGTTGCTGTCTGTGCGCCTTCTTCGCCGCGCGCCGCCGCTCCTTGCGGGAAAGGCGCGCGCAAGGGGCGGAAGGGTCGGAACGCCTTGACGACACCGCGGGGGTGGCGGAGTCAGCGGGATCAGCGGGAGTGACGGAAACATGCGGCGATGAGGCATCAGGGAGGCAGTGAGAGGGAGCGGAAGGATCGGGATGCGCTGGTTCACAAGGAACAGCGGAAGCCATCCCGCCACGCCAGGTTGTGCGCAATCTTGAATGCTTGTTTGAGCAAGATTGCGTCAGTGGGCGAAGGTCAGGTTTCACAACTTATGTCCGTTCCCTGCGGTCAAATTCGATTCGTCACGGTGCGAAGGGGTAAATCTTGGAAACCGCTTTCCACCGTTTGGAACCGTCCTGGGCCACTATACAAGAACAGCAAAAGTGCAGATGTGCAGGTTGACGTCGGCCCAAAAACAGGGCAAAGGCGCGTAACCATTTTGCTTTTTGGGTTGCGTAGCAACCTTATACATTCGTTTTCACTTTTCGGTTGACTGGCGTGAACAGTGATTTTCCCCCATCGATTTTGGAAGGAATCACTGTTCACGTAAGTTACCATAAAATTGAAACCGAATGTGTCCAATCATCCATAATCGTCGATAAGTACGGCGAATGGAATAATTGGACAATCTCTCCACACGAACTACGATACCGTACGTGAATTTCACAAAAAATTAACAACAACAACAAACAAACAAACAAACAAACAAACAAACAACGAAAACAACATGTAGATATGAAAGTACACATGAACTTGCTAAAAAACGTTGGACAATCAAGAATGCTTCAAGGCTAGTGCTAAATGCATCGATGATGCAACAGAGGTTGATATGGTACGGAAGAGGCGAGCAAAGCTGCCCCACCGACGATCACAACCCCAATAGCATACACGAGGCACTCAACACCAAGCCCCGAAACAGGCACTAACGACAGCACACACATTTGCACAAAAACATTGGATGGACATTTAACAGTTGTGAATGCTTCAAGGCTGATGCTAAATGAATCGATGTCGCAACAGAGGTTGATATGGTACGGAAGAGGCGAGCAAAGCTGCCCCACCGACGATCACAACCCCAGTTGCATACACGAGGCACTCAACACCAAGCTCCGAAACAGACACTAACGACAGCACACAAATTTGCACAAAAACATTGGACATTTAACAGTTGTGAATGCTTCAAGGCTGATGCTAAATGCATCGATGTCGCAACAGAGGTTGATATGGTACGGAAGAGGCGAGCAAAGCTGCCCCACCGACGTTCACAACCCCAGTTGCATACACGAGGCACTCAACACCAAACCCCGAAACAGACACAAACAACACCAACATGTATGGACAGACACATACAAGCGCGCTCACACACCTACACACACGCGCAAACAAACACAAAGGCATACTACCGCTATTGAACATGCAATGCAAGCGTAACGAATGAGATCAGCCATGTATAAATCACCGTTATCCTCTCCCACATTCCCCTTCCTCCCTCCCTTGTCTCCCATCCCACCCCTCCCTTCCAATATCCCCTATTCCTCCCATATCTGTTTACCATCTCCCAACCCCTCCCCTTTCTCCACAAGAGAAACCAAATAGTGCAGCTTGAACTCCCTGCCCAAGAAAGCACAAACAGCGCATGTAACTCACATTCCCTGGACAAGAAAGCAAAAACAGATAATGCAGCTGACACTCCCTGCACAGCACAGGAAACAAATCACAGGAATGCAGCCCACCCGAGCATAAGAAACGAGGTAAGAGTTATAACAATACGCTGATGAAGAATGAAGTACAAAAAAATCATATGAGGGACGAAAACAAACAAATTTGACATCTCACGAAGGTGATTCAGTATAAGATATCGTGTCGTCACACATACCATGCCAGCATGCACGCAATGCCTTGCAGCCACCCTCGCCTTCACCCTGACACTCATCCTCGCACCTCACTCTTGCACTCACTTTCTAACTCACTCACGCACACACTATCGCTCCCAACTTTTGCTAGACACGCTCACAGAAACACACACTCCCTGCACTCTCACACTCAAAATAGCACGCATGCTGCACGCACACTCGCACGCACCCTTGCACGCACCCTTGCACTCACCCTCAAACTCATTTTCGCACTCATGTTCGCACGTATCCTCGCTCTCACCCTCGCACTTACCATTGCACTCACACCAGCACCCTCGCACTCACCCTTGCACTCACTCTTGCACACTCACTTGCACTCACACTCATACTCACACTCACTCTCAGTCTAACGCTTGCTCTTGCACTGACCCTTGCACTCACCTTCGCATTCACTCTCGCACTCACGCTCACACTTCTTCTCGCATTCACCCACGCGCATGCACCCTCAAGTGCATGCGTGCACTCACTCGCACTCACACCCGCACTCATTCTCTCACACTCTCTCGCACTCACGCTCGCAACCACTCACGAACACACAGGCACTTTTAACCGTTCTGAGACACACTCACAGAAACACACACATAAACCCTCACACTCACCTCCAGACTACCGCTCGCGCTTACCCTTGCACTCACTCGAACACGCACACGCACGCACAGCCGCACGCACAGTCGAACCCAACTCGCACACACACCCACACTCGCACCTACAGCCACGCCCACACTCACGCTCGCACTCCTTCTCGCAGTCCTACTCGCCCTCTATCTCCCACTTTCTCTTGCACATACTCGTACTCACCCTCGCACTCACTCTTACACTCACACCGTGATCACCCTTGCACTCAACATTGCAGCCACCAACTCATTCATTCAGCCCCTGACTCTCGCACTCACTCTTCACTCACACAAATATACTCTCAACTCTTCTTTGACACTCACAAAAACACACACACCCTTGCATATGCCCTCGCACTCACCCTCACACACACTCGAACGCACCCTCGTGTTCCTTTGCACTCAACCTCGCACACACACACACACTCACGCGCACACTCACCCTCAAACTCGCCCTCGCACTCACACTTGCACTCACTCTCAAACTTGCTTTCTCACTCACCTTCTCACTACTCTCGCACTCACTCATGCGCTTGCTCTCTAATTCAACCTCGCACTCGCCCTTCCGCCCACAACTGCACGCGCAGCTCACTCTCGCACTTACACCCACACAAGCACCTAGAATCACACCCGCACTCACCCTCTGGCACACTCTCGACTCACTCTTGCAACCACTCACACACACTCACGCCCTAACCACAAGCGCACCAGTGGAGAGCCCTAATCGCAAGCGACATAAGCGCAAGCGGGTTAGGCGCAAGCGCCCACGGCACCCACGCCAACGGCGCAAGCGCGCACACACTCTCTCTCCCGCCTCTCCTCCCACACGCGTTTCGTGCTACCTCCAGCTCTTCATTCTCTCTCAACATACGCTCTCTCACGCGCACTCCCTGCGTGCTCGCTCCTGTGCGAACGCTCTCCCTCGCGCTCCCTCTCTCCCCCTCTTCAATTGGTAGTGAAACGCAAGACGAGGCAAGTCTAAACGCAGAAAACTACAAATAAGGTAGAAAACAATGGAATTTCAGAGGGGTAGGAGGAATAAACGCACCTGCTAATGACGGTGCCTCGAAGACCAACCCGCGCTAGCGCACCAGCTCTCGTTCGCGCACCATCCTTATCCGTGCTCTCAAACCTCCCCACGGCGGGACGGGAGGGAGTGGCGCGGCGGGGATGAGGGCGAGGAGCGGGGAATGGAAGGGAGAGACGTCGGCAGGATGGGAGGGAGTGGCGACGGCGGGATGAGAGAGAGTGGCGAAGCAGGATGGGAGGGAGAGACAGCGGCGGGATGAGAGGGAGAAGCGGTAGCGGGATGGGAGGGAGTGGCGACGGCGGGGTAGGTGAGAGAGGCGACGGCGGGGTGGGAGGGGACGACGGCGGGATGGGAGGAAGCGGAGGCGAGGGGATGGGAGGGAGCGGAGGCGAGGGGATGGGAGGGAGCGGAGGCGAGGGGATGGGAGGGAGCGGAGGCGACGGGATGGGAGGGAGCGGAGGCGACGGGATGGGAGGGAGCGGAGGCGACGGGATGGGAGGGAGCGGAGGCGACGGGATGGGAGGGAGCGGAGGCGACGGGATGGGAGGGAGCGGAGGCGACGGGATGGGAGGGAGCGGAGGCGACGGGATGGGAGGGAGCGGAGGCGACGGGATGGGAGGGAGCGGAGGCGACGGGACGGGAGGGAGCGGAGGCGACGGGATGGGAGGGAGCGGAGGCGACGGGATGGGAGGGAGCGGAGGCGACGGGATGGGAGGGAGCGGAGGCGACGGGATGGGAGGGAGCGGAGGCGACGGGATGGGGAGTATCGGAGGAGACGATGGGGAGGGCGAGGCGACGGCGGAGGGAGAGGCGACGGCGGAGGGAGAGGCGACGGCGGAGGGAGAGGCGACGACGAGGTGGGAGGGAGCGGCGACGGCGGGAGGAGGGAGCGGCGACGGCGGGTAGGAAGGAGAGGCGAGGGCGGGTGGGAGGCGAGGGTGGGTGGGAGGGAGAGAGGACGGCGCGGTGGGAAAGGAAGGATGGTGGGGTGGACGTGGATGCTATGACGAGGTGGGTGGGAGGGAAAGGCAACAGGTGGGTGGGATTGTCACGTGAAAACACACGCACATTCACGTGACACTGACTGGGCTGAAAACAACTCATTAAAAATAGTGCAATGGTACAATAGAAAGTATCATCTTTGTTAACTACATAAAAAAACAATCAATGTGTCTCAATGTTTAAAAATCATAAACATCCAGATTGAAACTAATACATTGCACCATCAAGAAGCACTTGCCGTATTCTTTAATACGGTAGACCTAAATCTGGCGCTAAATAAGAAAACAAAACTGCACTTCCTTTTTTTGTTTTTTTGGTCAATTAGGAATGTAACATCTACGCAACCCATACGACGGTAACGTCGAGTCTTGTTTCTTATAAGTTACATTTGCAAACTAGGTTTGATAAATGCAAGGTTGTGTTTCCTAGACGGAACTCTCCGTTTGTCGGAACGGGCTCGAGTATTCTAACTCTGAAGTAGAACCTTATCCAAATTTAGGGTTTCGCGCGAAACTGGGTCGTGTTTCGCCATCAGGCGAGTGTCGTGATTACCGCACAGATGACACTCAAGCTTGGGTGAGCAAGTGTCGTAATTTTTGTATATTGCTACAGTGTCAGCGGGTTTTCGCTGTCCAACCACAAGCGGACATTTTCGACGCATCCGATTTTGGCGTATCGTAGCCGTTGAGGTGCTCGGTTCCAGCTTTTGTCACATAAGGGCGTGTGAGGTCGGTTTTGAAGTTAAAAAAAAGTGCGAACTTTGGGTGGTTACCCGTTTCGCCAATATCGCATGGAGCTATTAGCGAAAATTCGTCAACTTTGGGTTTGGCAACATGTGAACTGTAAACTTGAACAAGACTCGAGTTTTAGTTGTGAACGTGCTTCGGCATGTTCACATTCACGTGTGTGATTTCCCGCACGTTCAGTCATCGGGCGAAATGTGCGAGCGACTCACGAGTAGCAACAGTGGCACAACGAACTCACCACAGCCTTCGTGTACTGAATAGAGGCCACGTGGCGAGAATCGTCATGTTTGGGGAATGACGAGAGCTCCAGGTGGGGCCAACATCACAGGCATGCAAAACAGTCTGGTAACCCTATTCGATTGTATGCAAAACCGTCGATACCACAGTTCCACTGTGTCAGAGGTCCACTGGGGATCCCCGATGATCCTAGGGAAGGGTTACAGGCACGTCGGCCTGGGGGGTTATGGGCGCACTCACCCGCTACATAAACAAGCCCTTTTATCCCAGTGGTTAGTGACTGGGATTCTGACATGGTATCAGAGCGAAGGTCTCGGGTTCGATTCCCGGTGTGTGCACTTCGGGCATCCCAGTGCGGGGGGGTGTCAGAGGTCCACTGGGGATCCCCGATGATCCTAGGGAAGGGTTACAGGCACGTCGGCCTGGAGGGTTATGGGCGCACTCACCCGCTATATAAACAAGCCCTTTTATCCCAGTGGTTAGTGACTGGGATTCTGACACACTGCGCAAATCTGTCTGGTACCGCCACTCAAAACACTGTGTGACAGCTGACGCAGCACAAAAAGGAAGCAATACGTGCAACATTCGAAAACGTTTTCAATTTCGTTTCAATCTATTCTTACCGCGCTTTGTTTGGCGCCTAACAACGATTCCTGTGGACAACTATTTTCCGTTGAATGTGTACGATAATTCCGACAGAAATAATCGTTGGAATGAGAGTAATATTTATATTGCTGCCGGAAACTGTTAGGGCATGCATGAAAAAAATAAAACCCCTAGGGACCTGGACTCATTTCAGGGAGGGATCAACCCTAAACATGGAAAATGGCATTGTTTTTAGGGTTGATGCCTCCCGAGTCGCATCCCTTTCCGATTGGGTTTTATTTTTCCTGCAGGTGTAGCTACCAGTGTTGCTCAAATGGCAGAACAATCGCCCGAATAAATCGAAATTGAAAGGAAACAAACGCGTGGTAAAAATCAGTTATTGAAATCAACAGAACCGCGATTCTAGCGCAAAATGTCAATACCTCCAAAACCGCGGTATCGACGGTTTTGCATACAATCGAATAGGGTTACCAGACTGTTTTGCATGCCTGTGATGTTGGCCCCTCCAGGTGGGCAACCTCTGATATTTGTACCCCAGTGTTGAAGGTGAGCTGGAGGTCTAGGCTATCCGAAACCGAGGCGCACGTCGGCCGCGTGGCGCACTGTCAAGACGTCTGAACCGGGTAACATACGTTGTAGAAATGCGGCTTGGTGCGATTTTACAAGTTCGAATACGCGCACTCGACCTTGTATGTGTGTGTGCTTTTCTGCAGTGTTGTGGTCCAGATGTGCGAACCCCGATACAAAGGAAGTCGAGATTGATTCGACTTATGTTCACTTCGCACAACTCGCCCAAAAAATGTAAACTAGCACGAATTTCACGGATCACACGCGCCCTAAAAGTTCGACTCGGTTCTGTTGCGATGGTGAAATCACATGGTTCTATGTGAAAAAATGAACGAACACTGGCGACAGCGGTAACCACCATTTCGAACGGACTGTTTGATAAAAGAGCCGTCAGGAACAAAACGGTTACGCGCCTTAAGGACGTGGGCACTCGCACCGATCTGCGAGAAGTTGGGATCGATAATACTCTGCAATGAGTCGACAATGCAATTGTTACGAATAGCAATGAATGAAGACTACAGTGCACTCCCGACCGCAGCTAAGGAAGCATGCAGTATCGAGAACGAACACGAAGAGTCAGAATTGACTCGAAGCGTCACACGGTTAGGGTGCATCTGGACCGTCGGAGCAGACGACATCGGGCAGCTGCAGGCAGGATGGTTTTGGCGGGAACAGTTTCGTAACTGTACGCGCCGCACGGTTGGGAGTGAATTTGAATAAGGGAATGTACCCCTTAGAGTACATGGCTAGTTAGGTCGTTTCGTATTCCCCTGTACTCTTATTTATATCGTTGTATTTGCATGTTTTAATTCATCTCAAGCATTTTACATTCACTCTGCTATTGAGGTCAAGGGCCCACCTAGACTATCTACCTGCGTGCGAACCTTCCCGAGGAGATCCTGGCTGCGATCTTCTTCTGATCGCAGCATGGTATGAGAGCGGCTCGGGAATCCTTCGCAATGCCTCTCCCGAAAATTACGACATTTGGAAAGTGGCGTCCGGCACACGCTCGCGTGTGAGAATGGCCGAAGGTTCTTGTGGTCAGACTAATCTGACGGCTGAAGCGCAACCCAACCCGGCTGCGACAAGCGAGGAAACGACGACGATCGGGACCGAAGTCCTCGCACAACTTCTTCAGCGACTCACCAGCCTGGAGCAAGGGCTCCAAACATTGCGCAACGGCGACGCGGGAACCTCCTCGCAACCTTCTCAACCGGCCCCAAATGGCCAGAACGCCGCCCCGCACACATTCTCCCTCGACACAAATGGTTCAACCCCCAAGACTCCCCGTCCCAGTGAAGAGGCAATTCTCTCTGCGCAATCAAAGTTTCTCAGCATATCAAAAATAAAGACAAGTGTGTGTTTTGACGGCAGAGATTTCTATACCTGGAGCTTCGAGCTGGAGCTCGTGCTACAGAACGCTCAGATTTTTCACTATTTCGACGGGAGTTACGCGGAGCCTGCTGAGGATACCGACGACGCCAAGGCGAGATATTACAACGAATCTCTGATGGCGTACGGGGTGCTCCTGCGGAACATGTCGCCGGCGGAGCAATTGAGCATCCGCTCATACAAAACATGGGCCGCTCCGGCCCTCGACGCCTGGCGCCACCTGAACGGCGTGTATCAGCCGAAGGACTCTGTTTCTTCGAGCCGGCTGCTTCAGCAGCTACTGGAGACCAAAATGGCCCCAGGGGAGAAGGCCAACAGCTACATCAATCGCTGTCAGAGTCTTTGCGACCAAATCGCGAAGTTGGGAAGTTCGATTTCGGAGGAAATCTTCGTGAACATCGTGCTTCAAGGGCTCGGCCCAGAGTGGCGGCCCTGCAAGGCGCTTCTCCGACAGCAGGGGGTCATCTCGGAGGCCGCCCTTTGCGCCGCCCTTCTCGTCGAACAAAGGGATATGGACCAGCAGCGACCAGCGCCACGATGAGAACGTGAACGGCTCGCCTTTTATGCCGACAACAACGAAGAGCGAAGACCGCGGCGCCTCTACTGCAAAATCTGCAGAAACTTCGGGCATTTGGCGGATCGATGCAAGTCCCGATCTCGCCCTCGCCAGACCAATCCGAGCAACTGGTCCGGCCGACAAGACGCACGAGGCGACGTGCGCCTAGCCCAGGGCTATCAACCCCCACCCGCGTGCAACATGAACCCAGTGGTTCAGCATCAGCAGAAGCAGCCGTCATCGACTGCCCCACTACGCAACGGTTGGAGCCATCCAATACGTCAATCTTGGATGGTGGTGGCTCACTCCTCTTCTCAGCTGCATCTCCACTCCCTTGACTCATCTTCCCTTTACCCAATCTCAAGTCTCAGCTCCCCTTTTTGTTGAATATCTTCAATATTTTCACAAGTGTTGGCTCCAACAAAATTTCAGCAGAGTTTCCCCTCAGCAAAAGTCATATCCAACCTTCAAATCTCCACTTAGGCACTCCCAAAGATCATGGTGGGTCTAGAAGGGTCTTCACACCTCAGTAAACTCTCCACAAAGTCCTCAATCATCTCTAATACCGAGGTTAGAGATCAAGGACGGAGTCTAGAACGTTTCGGGGCCGAAACAATTCAAAAGCAACGTCAATAAAAATGTAGCTGTTAGAACTCCACAAAAACTGAATACATCGTATAGTTGAACCGTGGCTTTCGTTCCCAATTTGAATCGCATAAAAAAGCGAACATTTTCTTGAGATAAGAAAATTGGCGCACTAGGGGGTATGTTGGAGCCCAACTCACACTTCAATTGTTCAACTAAGAACCACAAAGAGAAATCTTAGTAGCAAGGATCCAGGTAGGAGGGGATGAGGAGGACGATAGAAATAGTCCCCAAGGAGTTCCCAATCAGGGAAACCTTTTTTTACACAATTTCCCTCCCTATAGCCACCCCAACTTTGACATTTGTCACTTTTCTAACCCAACTTGGCCACACTTGCCAACCTGGTTTGGCTTCTCCCAACCACTTGGCATCAACTACAGTGATGGTGACGAATTTTCCCAACCCCAAAAAGTTTGTACCCCATATTGAGTCACTCCACAAATTCTCATAGTCGTCGCAACCAAGTATCAAAAGCAAACGAGTTCGTAACTTTCTCGTCCGTGATTGCGATGATGCTTGGCACGTCAGAAAGCTCTTGAGCAGAAAAGTCGCTGCTGAGACGAAATCAAAATTAACACACACTCACAACATCCAAACAAGCCAAGCATTAATTCTTCCACATGCAAGGTAGAAAAATGTTTTGGGAGATAGACATGTGTGAATGCAAATGATAGCATCACACAACACAGTGGAACTCCTTGAAGTCCATCACGCCTTCTGTTGTTTGTGATAGAAAATTCTCCCGCAATGTGCCCAAGGGGCACTTCGTTGAATCCCTCTCTCCTGGATCTCTTTCCACCGACCACGTTAGCAGCTCCTTGCGCAAGTTCCGATAGTATGTCTCGACTTCTTAGAATCTTAGGCATGAAGTTGTGTGAGATTAGGTCAAGGTTGGGGTACAAGACTAGAGTGTCGAAAGTGTTTCTGTACCCTCTAAGGCTAGCCCCAATATAGCCTAGATACTAATATACATATGTTTTGACACACCCCCATAGGCGAAGTGGGGGATAGCCAGCACAAGGGGTCACAAGACTAGTCAAGCAAACCAAAGCAAAGCTCAGGGTGGATCACAACGTCACCACACATTCTGAGCAAAGGTTCAAGGCCTCAAGGCCGGTTCACATGCAGGATGATATATAGAGGTAAACAAACAAGAGCAGGTATATATAAGACACAGTACAAGCAAGGTCAAGAAGTGAGCAAGTGAGGCCAAGTAGGCACAAGACCTAGCATAGTACAAAAGCGCTGATGATCGCAAGGCGGAAGAGCCTTGGTGAAGATATCAGCAGTGTTGGCCCGAGTGGCCACGTAAGCAAGGCGCAGCTGACCACGCTGCTGCAGCTCACGAGCAAGGAAGTAGCGAAGAGCGATGTGCTTCGTTCTGTGCTCCAGTCTGTGCTCCTGACACAAGGCCAGCATGGCCTTGTTGTCTACGTACAGAACTGGAGGAGAACGAGGCGGCTCTCCAAGGTCAGTCAGCAGGTAGGTCAGCCAGCGTAACTCCTGTGCAGCCATGGCTCCTGCGTAGATCTCAGCCTCACAGCTGGAGCTGAGCACTGAAGACGAGCGAGTAGACCGCCACGAAACAGAGCCGGAACCAAGGCTGAAGGTGTAACCCTGTGACGACCGCTGCGTAGCCAGGTCGTCGACCCAAGACGCGTCTGCGTGACCCGTGAGGACCACTCGACTCCGCCCTCCAAGCACGAGCCCCATGCCCGACGTACTGCACAAGTAGCGCAACACCCTCTTCGCTGCAGCCATGTGCTCTGGTCGGTGTCTCCCAGGAGCAACATAGCGTGCGAGTATGCTGAGAGGGTAGGCCAGGTCAGGTCGTGTGCAGGTCATCAGGTACATGAGGCAGCCAACAAGCTCTGGGTACGGGCCACTCGGCTCTACGGACTCATCCGAAGGCAGAGCTGAGAGCGAGTGGCGAGTAGACAGAGGAGTGGCCTGAGGCGAGGAGTACGTGAAGTCAAAGCGCTGAAGGATCTGCTGCACCATGTGTGACTGAGTCAGGGTAATGGTGCGCCGTGCTCTTTCATCAGCATTTCAACGTTCGACTCGGCAATGCGTCATACTTTGTGATTCCTAACAGACGCCGTCCAGCTCATTTCGTCGAAATCAAGCCATTGAAATCGTTAGACATGGCTTTGCAATGGCTGTGGGGATACGTATCCAGGGTTACCTCGGGGGAATTTCGAAGGAATATTCTGGGGGGGGGGGGGAAGGGGGAGGAGAGGGGGAGGGGGGAGGGGGGGAAAATCTAGAGACAGGGACCGCTGGAGTCCCCTGGGTTACCCACACCAGGGCGCAAATCCATGTAGTTTCTGGGGGTAGGTAGTTTTGAACCCAATATCTGGGATGTGTCGCATGCTGTGATATAATAGTAGTGAAGAGCTTGGGTAGTGGAGTTTCTGAATCCCGTTTGGGAATTCAGACAATGGCAGTGAAGATTGTTCACATTTGCGGCGAAGAATGACCCGAGATTGTGTTTTGTGACCCTTCTCATCACCAAACTTGAAAGTCCTTTGGACCAAGTCTTTCCCCTATTTTGGAATTATCCGGAAAGAGTCCTTTGAGACCACAATCTGTCCCAAATGTGACCTGGTAGTTCCAAAAAATCTTAGCACCATGACAGCATGATATGTCGTATGCTCAACCTTTTGCCAGGAGATGATAACAGCCTGGTGCTATCACCTCCTTCCGCTTTTGTTGGGAGATGCCGCAGACGTTCCCTGAAATAGAGAAGTATACCTTCGCTTATTGGGATCGAAATCCAAAGAAAGTGACTCAAATATATCAAAAGGCCGTGCATGAGGTTTGTCCAACATATGTTTTGAAAGACCTTGCATGGTTTTCAGCTAGATTCCGTTTTATATTTCAACCTATGCAGGCAGCATACTCGCTGAGGCTCAGTAGACATGAGTTCGTGCCTGGTTCTGCCTCTTTTTTTTTTGTTTGTTTGTTTGTTTGTTTTTTTTTTTAATTTCTCCTTTTATTTCCTTCCATGTCTCCAGTTGGCCTGTGAACTGGCGTTTGCCCTGGACAAACCAGGCCGGCTTGCACATGTTCGTTGCTGGGGTGGGAAACGAAATCGGATAGACAGTGTTTATAGTTGACCTTAACAGACAGTACACAAAACTGGAAAGCAAGACGCTGTGCAAAAGTTAGCATGCACTTATTTCAACATCTTAATTGACAGCGACACATACCCTTCACACACATTTATAAAACCGTTTTCACATATTCCACAACGACTGGATGCCTATCTCTTCTGTGTTCTCCTGTATCCACTGCCCCAGCATGCCACTTCCATTTGCATCCACGATAGAAAACAACCACATGGAGATGCAACGCTAGGAGACCATTTATAATTGCCTCACAGTCGGACGGCTGGCGAGCTACTCATTCCGTTCATCACGCTGTTCCGTCCCCCAACAACCTCCCTCCACCTGCCCCCCAGTGCAAGCGCTGCTGGCCCTGAACAGCGCATGGGGTCTGTGGGATTGCGATTCGACTGATGTGTTCTGTGATGATTGGAACAACTTCATGCTCGCCACTGTGGAATGTAACACACGCGGCATGGTTACCTCCCTGTGAGTTCTGTTCCGCCATGTGTGCTCTGGGAGGAGTACAGTACGGATGCAGGGGGGAAGGAGGAAGTGAGGATGGAGAGATGGGGGAAGGGAAGGGCTGTGGATGGGGTAAGGAAGGGCTGTTTGGCATAATGGATGGTAGAAGAGGGGAAGCACTGCAAGAGCGGAGTTGCTGTGTTGTGGGGCCGTTCGGGAAAGATAGTAGAGCGTTCTTGCATGCCTTCAGTTGAACTTGCATGCCTTTGCATGGGACACGACACAGGGTGCAGCAGGCATTGCTGAACTTGCTGCTGCAATGCCACCGTCTCCCTTGCATCCGACCGACCATCCACTTACTTCTCAATCTCTCGTGATCCTCAACAAGGTGCCTTACCTTCTCCTCCTACTGTGATACAGGTCTGTGGTTTCACGCAATGCCTCCCAACCATCTGGAGTCGTGCCGCCAGCCATTACGGCTCTCACAGAGCTTCAAGAACTGTCAGTGCAGACCACTTGTGAGGAAATGGCTGTCAGGGTTCTCCAAGGGCCACAGATTGAGTGCTTGGGGCTGCACTGAACCACCACTAGAAAACGTGTGCTGGGACGCGGTTGGGACTGTTTCTACACTTTGCAGGATTTTTGAGCTCACTAATTTTGTATTTTGCCTCTCTTAGAGCCACCCTTCCCACTTGCATGGCTCTCTGCAGGGAGCTGCGTCTGAGTGCCTTCACTGGAAGCCTGGAGTTCCTTGGCCAGTTGCCCCACTTGGAAATTGTGTACGCAGCTTGTTCTTCTCTGCCATTGTGCCGTCTCACTCACCTCTGCAAGCATTCTGTTCTTATTGCTCTGCCCTTCCTCCCCGCTCTATGCCTGCATTACCCTGCTCTGGGTCATTCTGTCCCTTCACAATCGTTCTCTCACGTTCATGCGAGCCTGCTTGCCTACCTCACCTGCTTACTTGCCATTGCCATGGCACATGGTCCATATCAGAGATCTGCACGCCAGCCAATTAAGTGGATCCATCCCTTTATCCATCGGCAATGCCACGAATCTGCAGCACCTGTAAGAAGGGGTTTTATTACCATGGCTTGGACCACTCGTCATGCGCACCTGCACTTGCTGCCTCGGCCAATTTACTGATCGCGAGGCCAGACAATTACACGTGCATTTCCCCCTTGATGAGCAGCCCCTTGATACATCTAACATCTTCGGTTTCAGTTTCGGAACGTTGGGATTCAGCCTCATTCGTTTGTGCACCCCCCGTCATCTCCATCCCATGGCAGTGACCTAACGGACATTGCCGGCCTCACTGGAAGACTCCCATCCACCTTCAGTCGCCTCACTGCACTCACCTACCTGTACCTCCCTTTTCTCCTTCCCTCTCCTTCTTGTACCACCGTCATCCCTTGCTTCCCGGGTTGACATGTTGCACGTTCCCCTCTCCACATCCCAACCGCTGCTCCTCTCTCTTCCAGTCTGGATCCATCACTTGCGTTGATTTGTTTCCCCTTCCTGGCTTCCTTTCCCACGCTCTGCACTGCTCCCCCATGCAGGTCCATTGGAAGGTCTCAGTACAACAAATATACTAATGAATATACTGCATTTGAGAACCCAACAGAGTAAGACTGATGGGGGTCTAGCTTCTTGGTGCTGCATGCTATGCAATGGTGCATGTTATGCTGTGGTGCATGGTGCAAGCTATGGAACAAGGTTTGGTGCAATGCAATCTACGGTGCAAGCGATGGTGCAAGCAATGGTGCAAGCGATGGTGCAAGCTATGGTGCAAGCTATGGTGCAATCTATGGTGCAATCTACGGTGCAAGCGATGGTGCAAGCGATGGTGCAAGGATGGTGCAAGCTATGGTGCAAGCTATGGTGCAGGCTATGGTGTAAGCGATGTGGTGCAGGCGGTGGTGCAAGCTATGGTGCAATGGTGCAAGCGATGGTGCAAGCTATGGTGCAAGCGATGGTGCAAGCTATGGTGCAAGCGATGGTGCAAGCTATGGAACAAGCTGTGGTGCAATGCAATCTACGGTGCAAGCGATGGTGCAAGCTATGGTGCAAGCTATGGTGCAAGCTATGATGCAAGCTATGGTGCAAGCGATGTGGTGCAAGCGATGGTGCAAGGTATGGTGCAAGCGATGGTGCAAGCGATGTGGTGCAAGCGATGGTGCAAGCTATGGTGCAAGCTATGGTGTAAGCGATGTGGGTCAAGCGATGGTGCAAGCTATGGTGCAAGCGATGGTGCAAGCTATGGTGCAAGCTATGGTGCAAGCTATGGTGCAAGCTATGGTGCATGCTATGGTGCAAGCTATGGTGCAAGCTATGGTGCAAGCTATGGTGCAAGCTATGGTGCATGCTATGGTGCAAGCTATGGTGCAAGCGATGGTGCAAGCTATGGTGCAAGCTATGGTGCAAACTATGGTGCATGCTATGGTGCAAGCTATGGTGCAAGCTATGGTGCAAGCTATGGTGCAAGCTATGGTGCATGCTATGGTGCAAGCTATGGTGCAAGCTATGGTGCAAGCTATGGTGCATGCCTTGCCGGCGGAAAATGATATCTTCGCAAGAGACTTGCCAGTGTCACACAAGGGAGACTAGCTGTGCGTGCAGTTGTAGAATCTGATGCCTGAGCGGCTCCATATGGCGATGGCAGCCATGTGCAGCAGGGCAGTGCAGTGCAGCAGGGCAGTGCAGCAGGGCAGTGCTGTGCAGCAGGGCAGTGCAGTGCAGCAGTGCAGTGCAGCAGTGCAGTGCAGCAGTGCAGTGCAGCAGTGCAGTGCAGTGCAGCAGTGCAGTGCAGTGCAGCAGTGCAGTGCAGCAATGCAGTGCAGCAGTGCAGTGCAGCAGGGCAACTCATATGGCGGTGTATGGTCCAAGCTGCTCCATTCACATGCATTAGTGCCTCTCATTCTCAAACATGTACAATCCAACATGCTCCATGCTCCATGCTTCCACGCACATGGAGCTTCTCCTTTTCTTCTCTGCGGCCATTGCTGCTATCGTGCCCCTTCACACCATGTGCAAATGCATTTCACAGTAAGTATCATACTCCTCCTCATCCCTCCCCCCTACTGTGTGTGTGCCATCCCTCACAGCATTTACCCCATCATGGCTACAATGAGCCCCCCTGTGCTGCAAGGCTCCATGGCAGACCTCTCCTGTTTCGCCCCAATCACTCGCCTCCAACACCTGTACGCCCCTCTCGCCCTGCCCACTTTCTCATCCCTCCCCACCTTCCCCTCACCTCTCCCTCATCCATGTCCGCCTTCCTTTCTCGCTGTGCAAATTCCTGTTCCGCCTCATTGTTCATTGGTCAACCACTAAAATTTCAAGCATTTCTCTTCATTCTCAATGCCTCACACATTCACATTCTCCTTCTCCTCCCCAGATTTCCCGAGTCCACTTCACAATTTGTCTCTCATCCTCCCTCTTGCACTCATGCCTCTTTGCCCGTCGTACTCAATCACTTCCCCTCAGCGCTCTCATGACTCTCAACCTGACGGCTGGAGAGCTCCCTTCCTCTCTCTCTGCCCTTACTTCGCTCACAACCCTGTAAGCCCCTTCCTCCTGCTCGAAGGCATGCCGCTTTATTTTTTTATCCCGTGGCTTGTGCATGGTGGTTAAGAGTTGGCTAAGAGGTAACCGGGTTACCGTAACCCCCAGCGCACAACCTTGATACACAATTTGTGGGATCCTTAGACGTGCTGTTGGTGGGCCCTGGACATGTGATTGCTCGTTGAATTATTGCGTGTGCATCAATATGACCAAATCAAGATGCTTGTTCCGCTGCTCCCATCTCTAACAAGTCCCGACTATCAACCGCATGAGTCATCTCCATGGTTGAGTTGAGCTGAACGTGCAGGCGTCAGCGGGGTCTTGGCGGTGTGCACGCCCTCTCTCCCTCCTCTCTTCTTCCCTCTCTCGCAGTGACCTGAGGTTCCTTTCCATCGCCCGCTTACCGCAATGGATTGCATCGCTCCCCAACCTCGTTACACTGTGAGTGCCGCGCCACCAGAACCCCCTCATCCCACCCTGCTCGCATCCTCTCGTCACTGCTTCCTGGTATTCCTGCCCTGATTCACTTGCGACAAGAGAGGCCAACGCAAGTACGCTCTGTGGCTCCCGTTTCCCCTGTATACCTGCACCATATGCGAGTCACTGTCACTGCAGTCTTGCGACATGCGCATTCACTCTCTGCTTGCCTTGCTCGCTGCCGGACCATGTCCTTGGCCGCTCTGCAGGGATGTCACCGGCAACTTGAATGTCCACCGCTCTGCACCGTTCCCCACCGACTGGATGGCACTCACAAGGCTGGAGACTCTGTGAGCCGTCCAGCGCGCCATGAGCACACAGCCTTGGGTTGACACCTTGAGCATCTCAGCTCACCGTGTTGGTTTGAGATAGTCATCAGCGTGCTGGTCTGGTTCGCGCGGTGTGGTTCGGTTCGGTTTTCTCCAAACTGAAATTATGTTTTTACTACTAAGTCAATTTTGTTACCAGACCGGTTAGTCATTTTGTGCGGTTTGTTTTCGTAATAATTCCGAGCTGCAACCAACCGCCCAGTGACCCGGTCGTCTCGAATACAACCTGGAAAATTAGAGTGTTGTATTCGAGCTGCAAATCTCTTATAGTCCCACATATCCCCTCTCCACCTCTCATTTGTGTGTTTCCCACGGTTCGTGTTTAGGTTTCTGCTGGTAGGCACATTGTGGAAGTTCACTCTAAAACTGCTCCATTCTTCACATTGGCCAGTGGGCGGCTCTGCCTGCCTTTCTTCCTTGCCCACCACCCATCACTGCGCCCTCCCCTCCTAACTCCCCTCCCTTTCCACCTCCAGGCGGGCCGGTCTGAATGGCTTCACTGGCTCTATCCCCTCCACCATCTCCGCCCTCCCTGCCCTCGGTTACCTGTATGCATCCTTTCCCACCAACTGCTCCCTCCCTTTCTAGCACTCCTCCTCACCCCCACTGGAGATGCCGTAGAATTACATAAAGGAAAGACAAGACCACAAAATACGCAAAACGGCCAGGTTGTGAGGATGAGGATGTGAGGACGAGGATGTGAGGACGAGGATGTGAGGACGAGGATGTGAGGATAAGGTGGAGACAAAATTGCTCTCCTTTCACAAAAACCTCATGTGAGGACCAACATAGAAATTTGGTCACCTGAACTTCCTCCACAGAATGGACAAGTCTTCCAAACTTAAGCTAATCCCTGCACTATATAAAACTTTCCACCATAGATGCATCCGAGGGGCGGCTCTCTCACTGCGTGTAATTGCCCCCCTCCTGCAACAGTTACGACTGTGGCCCCTTTTGCTGTATCCCTGATATAGTGAAAAGCTTTCTATTAAAAAAAAAGGAACTATATAAAACTTCTTCAGTGTTCAGTGTCGTGGGATTATGCTGTTCATATCACACATGCATACTTTAGCCTCTCCCCACATGTGGATGCCTTGGCCCCTCATCACACCTGTGTGCTTTGACCTCTCCCCGCACATGCGTTCATTAGCCTCTCCCCACGCGTGCCTGTATCCACACAACACAGGGGGCTCTCCCACAACAATCTCACCGGCGCCGTTCCTGCCATCAATAACGCAAACCTCCAAACCTTGTGAGTCTCCAGGCCCACCTCGCCTCGCCTCCGCATACGTGTATTTTGTATTGCAACAAATTTAACCCAATGGAATTAGATGGGGTCTTGAAGGCGATGCTATGCAGAACATGATGCTACATGGCTCTTTGCAGACAACCCTTCAGGTCCTCCTGCCGCTGTTTCAGTAGCGCACTTGTGTTTTGGTCAGGCGGTAAACCGTTCTGTTAGGGTGTTCCTGATAGCTTAAGATGGCCGTGGATCATGTTGTCGTTCTAGCATGTTCGGAGAAGATCCTTTCGGATCAATTTTCCCATACACCAACCTGGCATGACTTATGCACCTTTTGCTTCACAGACATGTCTCGTGCTCATACAATACTGGAGCTGTTTCAAACCGCCCAGCTTCCTAGCATGTGGCACCAATGTATTCTCGTTCCTACCTCAGCGTGCATGTCTACTCCTCTCCTTCACACCCTGTCCTTTCTGCGTTCCCTAACTGCCTGCAGAGACCTCTCCCACAACCACCTCACCATCATGCCTACTGCCCTTTCACCCTTTCTCTCTGCTCTGTGAGTCCCAAGAAGATTGAGTTCCCAGGGACCAGAGCAAGAGAGAGGGAGTTAGGGTAAAGCGGGGCATAGAGGGAGAGGGGATGGGCCGCACAAGAGTTCACCACTCTCTTGGCGACGACTGTAACGTTGTGTGGAATCGGAAGTGTCAAGTCAACCTTCATCCGCCAGCTGGTGTACCGCTTACCTGTTGTCCATTGTCCAACTCAAGTGAGATCGCCTCAGTGACACATCTTCAAGACAGCCTCACCCGCAAGGGCACCAGATAGGACTTACGTGCCATGATGCAGCCACTTAAGTCTGGTGCTTCATCAGGTTCGTGATTCACTTTCAAACGTCAATGGTGAGTCTTATAAGTTGACTCGAGTTAGCCCTACGTCATGGGCTCAAGTCTAGGCATGATCGGGTCTGACTCTACATAGCTCAATGCATACTCATTTCTCCCCTGCGCTCCATTGTGTTACCTCATTTTTGCAATACATTTCCTGATCATCTGAAAGTTAGCTACTCGTGGCATCCACGAGTCAGCATGGCAACTTCGTGATGCTGAAATGAATTCTTCCCGACTGATTGTTCTCAGCAACCTGAGCCACAACGACCTGGAGGGATCCCTGCCACCCAATATCATAGCCACAATGTGAGTTGTGCCGCTGCAACCGTCAGGTCACATGCAAGTGAAGGGCCCATACCTTTGCCCGTGCCATGTGGCGCCCGCCAGCGTTCACCATGCACATTACCTGACACATCTTGGTGGAATGTAAAGTTGCCATGCCAGGCCAACAGTCTAGGCCATGCCGAGATCCAGCCAAGCCAAGCCAAGCCAAGCCAAGCCAAGCCAAGCCAAGCCAAGCCAAGCCATTCACGCAAAGCCAAGGAGCATGTGATAGTGATTTTGTTTTAAGGCGTCTCAAAACAAATGTAAAGTTGTTGCGTCTCCCTAACACTCGCCTAACAAGCAGAAGGTACTGAAGCCCAACCAGGGAATGCACCAAGCAAGCAGTCCTTGAGGAAAATGGAGACATGTGGCAAGGAAGAATGAGCCATCCATTCTATTACCGCAACGAAGCATCTGGCAGTCAATGGCCGCCAGCCAGGAACTGCTTCACACGTTGCACTGCTTTCCCACGTGCCTGCAGCACGTGGTCCTGAGCTGCTGCAGCACGTGGTCCTTGAGCTGCTGCAGCACGTGGTCCTTCAGGTGCAGCACGTGGTCCTTGAGCTGCTGCAGCACATGGTCCTTGAGCTGCTGCAGCACGTGGTCCTTGAGCTGCTGCAGCACGTGGTCCTTGAGCTGCTGCAGCTGGTCCTTGAGCTGCTGCAGCACGTGGTCCTTGAGCTGCTGCAGCTGGTCCTTGAGCTGCTGCAGCACGTGGTCCTTGAGCTGCTGCAGCT